CACATACATTACATTTTACAAATTTTAAGATAAAATATTATATTATATTATATTTTTATATATTTTATTTTATTTGAACATTATATAAATTGTGTAAAATTAATTACAAATACTATAATAAATGAAGTTAAGGGTACAAGTTAAAAAATCTTTATGTTTAAATATTTAAGAGTGAAAAAAAAAATACGAAAATATTTTTTTCCTAAGTTAGGTGCTATTTTTTAAGTCAGTGCCATGTCATTGGCCAATCATCATCTTTTGTTAACAGGCCACAAAAATTAAACGGAAAGATGACATTTTCTAACGTCATCCTTAACAGAAGGGGTGATTTGCGGATTTCATGTAGTAGAAGGGCTGATTTGCCAGTGTTTCTTGTACAGGGGCTGAATTGCCACAACATTTCAGGTACAGGGGCTGAATTGCACCTTCTGCCATTTCAATTTCAAACCCTGCATTTCCTCCGCAGCCGACGACGATGAAGACTCCATTGTGACTTCAGAAACTACACGAATCACCGCAAAATCAGAAGCAAAACATGCGAAACCGAGAATTAACAAAGAAGAACCAAAAAAAGAGAGGGTTGAGAAATCGGAAAACTTGAAGGACTCACCAGAATCCGCCAGGTCGATGGTCGATCTAGAGTCTGGAAATCAAATCCAAGAGTCTAGAAGCAGAGAAGCATAGCCACTATGGAAGTGTGCGTGTGTTTCCAAATTTTCAAAGGGCGTACTTGAAATGCGGATTTAAAATGCAGAAGTAGTAACACATCGGAGGGGAGGGAGTGAGGAAGGGGTGGGGGAGATGATTGCATCTTTGCGGTTAGATATGGATTTTGGTGGCTGTGATTGGATTAGGAAAGTATCTTTACTAAAAAAAATCTGGGATCCAACGTGATTGGTGTGTAGGTTTTTTTGGGTATCCCTTTTAGATAACGCAGGATTTGCTTAATTTTTTTAAAATTAATTTCATGGGATAACTACTGCACCTATCATTTAATCAAAAGAAGAATATTTAAGAAAAATGAATAGAAAATGGAACATGAACATGAAAATAAATTGATTAGTAAAGGTAATTATTTTTTTATTCAATTTATTTATTTTAAGGTAATTTAAATAATATTTTAGAAGATTAAAATTGTTAATATTAGTTTTATTAAATTTAAATAATGATAAGAAACATATTTCATTTAATAAAAAAATTTCAATTTTAAATACATAGTATTTTAAAATATCCAAACAATGAATTTAAAAATACATGCATTTGAAAATCATTTTTTTTTAATTTCAATCCAAATAATATATTTTAAAATATATTTATTTTAAATACATACATTTCAAATACACGTATTTAAAATACACATCTCAAATTCAAATACATGTTGCCAAACACAACCAAAATGATTTCAACTCATAGAATAAACAATTTAAGGTTCAAAATAGAAACAAAAATGTACAATATATTTTTTTACTCTAAATTCTAGCAAAATTATTTTGCAGCCTAATTATTTTTTTACTTCTTTTATTCTAAAATAATAAATATTTTTTAATTTAGAATTTATCTTAAAATAATAATCTGTTTTTTTATATTTTTTCAATTATTTTTTTTTACTTTAATTAAGAATCCATATATCTTATCATAAAAAAAAGTCTTTTTATTTTTACTTTTTAAGTTAATATAGATAAAAATATAAACTATCCTTAAATTCTTAATTTAAAGATAAAATAAAAGACGATTATCATTTTAAGACAAAGGGGTTATTGATTTGCTACTAATTACGTAGAGGTCTTTTGTGCACACTTATAAAATTGTAATTCATGCCGTCAATAATGTAATTATCTGTCTTGTCCATGCCATGTCATTAGTTCAAATTAACAGAATGTTTAACTAACGGTGAGTGATTAATGGTAGTAACTTAAATGAAAGTTAAGTGACTAAATTTACAAATTTAAAAGGAGAATGACTAAGTTAAAAGTTATGATAAAGGTGAGTGATCATCCATGTAGTTTGGCCTTATTATTTTGTTTTAAAATTTTATAATATTAATCATTATTTGTTATAAGTGTTTAACAAAATCTTTAATATTTTTTGATTTTTAGTTTTTTAAGTATAAATAATATTAAATAATAATTAATTTAAATAGTAAATCTAGTTAATAAGGTAAAATTTTCACTATTTGTAACCAGCATATATATATAAGTAAATATATTTGGTAAATTCTTAAGTTCAATGTATTGTTGTTATTTGTGTATTGACATGTTTAAATCTTCCTTCTTTTTTTTCCTTGAATTTAAGGCTGTATCTCCCAGATAAATGTGAAACAGGGTACGTTTGGGGACCATTGAAACAGAAATAGCAGGCAAGAGATAAATGTGAAACAGGGTACGTTCGGAAACCTTTGAAGCAGAAAATATATCATACTTCTTTTTTTTAATGGAATGTATTACACTGTTTCAGTCAAGTCATCTGCCCGAAATAATATGAAAAAAAAAAAATATTTATTATTTCGATTAGATATTCTAAGCAAATACATGGCAACATTTTTTTGGAAAATAAATTGAATAATCTTTACATATTTGGTCAAACTTATTGACTAAATTCCTTTTCTTAATCTATCTAGTAGGCCATTAGTTTCGCCGAATTAATCAATTATTTTTTCACGAAATTTTGAGTTACTGTGAAAAAAAAAAACTAAAAAAATTTTTGTATCTCACTTATCTTTTTTTTTCAAAAATTTTGACCAAAATTAATTTTTAATAATTTTGAATTCCGCCTTTAACAATTTGGTCATATTATATGTTGAAATTAAACATTTATTCCCCGTCAACTCTAGCTAAACTTGTTTGAAATTTCTAACAAAATTGTTTCGATCAAATAATATTTCTGACCGAATTGGTGAAGCCTATATAAATATATCTCTCATAATTTTCATTCCCGCTTCCTCTCACTTCGTCACTCGTCCTATTCTTCTCTTTCCATATTTCTTCAATTTTTCTCGTTTTCTTCACTTCTCTTTCTATTCTACTCATTATTGCCTTTCTATTTTACTATTTTATTTTCTTACCTTTATTTCTATATTTCCTAATTACTAATTTCTTTTTCGTCTATTCCTTTCATTTCCATTAATTTATTGTCATTTGTTAAATTTTATTCAAAACATGTTATATAAATTTATTTTCAGTTTTCATTATCTAATATTTTTTATTTTCTTTCACTAATGATATATATTATTTTTGGACACTTATTGAAACACACTTTAGTTTAATATATTATACAATAAACTCATTAAAAAATCACCATTTTTTAATTTTAAATTAAAAATAAATAAATTTACAAAGACAATCATACATATAAAATGCAAAAACCAATTAAATTAGTTATATTTATATTATATTTCAATAATTCAACTAAAATGTATCAAAAAATGTGTTAGAGTGAAATATGTACCAATTAATGTTTTTTTCAAAGGAGAATGAGTGGTATACAGTTGGTTCAACATATTATACAATACATTTGTTAAAAAATTATTTTTTGTTTGAAATTAAAAGGAAACAAAGTCAAAGATGCATTTATACATACAAAATGTAGGAATCAGTTGAATCGACGGTATTTATATTATATTTTTAATGATTAAAGTAAATATGTGTCAAAAATGTGTCGAACCGAGTGCGAAACAATTATTTTCCTTTGAAAAATAATACTGATTGATATATACTCCAATTTAACGTATTACACAACACACTCACTAAAACTTATAATTTTTTAGTCTGAAATTAAAAGTAAACAAATTCAAAGAAGCAACCATCTATACAACATGCATGAATTGATTAAATTAATTATATTTATATTATATTTTTAATAATTAAATCAAATAAATATTAAGAAATATATCGAATAATCCCTTCCATGTGATTTCGGTTGAATAATATGACCAACATAAAAGTCTAAGCATTTTTCATCCACTACAACAATTCACTATAACACCGACGACAAACCATGTCGGAGAAAGAGAGAATCTGGTCGGTGAAACAAATTTCCCACTTGCATCACGTCGGTAATGGCTGCCTCGGTGAAGCCCGGCTCGGTAATTAAATCACCGACG